ACCCCGCTACGAGTAAATATGTGCGCCCGGCCGCTGCTTCTCTCGTCTATGGTACTATGACCTGGGTTCGATCCACTATTGTATTACAATCCGGCAGCGTCCTAGCCCGAGGCGTCACAATTGCCACGAGATATTGCTCTATTCGAAGGCAGTTCAAGGACCGGGATGCAAAAGATAAGACCGCTGGCGAAAACCCGGTTCTGGATTACAAGATGGTTCAGATTCGACTTCTGCCTCTCCTTGCTGCTACGTTTGCTCTCCATTTTACTGGACGGCGAATGATGGAGATGTACGAACAAAACCAGAAGCTGATAGCTGCGGGTGGCTCAGAGAAGGCTGGTGCCATCCTTCTCGCTGATCTCCACTCCACCTCCTGTGGCCTGAAAGCCCTTGGAAGTACAATAGCTGCTGAAGGATTAGAAGTATGCCGTCGTGCGTGTGGTGGACATGGGTATAGGTACGCTTCGGTTATTTTCGGCGTCAATTTATGCTTTTTAAGGGGGGAAAACTAACCCCCTTACAGTAGCTACAGCGGCATCGGTCCCTGGTATGCCGATTATTTGCCAACAACTACCTGGGAGGGAGACAATTACATGTTGACCCAACAAGTCGCACGATACGTAAGTCCAACCATTAAGAGTTTCAGTTAATACGAAAGGAAAATCACCTAATAGTTTTGGGTTCAGCTCCTTAAATCTGCTAGGGCAGTGTTCGCCGGCCAAGCCCCGGATAACGACACCTGCCGTATTCTCAAAGGTTACCTAAGCCGCAAAGACACGGGAGCCGCCTTCGATATTCTTGACAGCGACGCTGAAATCGTAGATGCTTTTGCATGGCGTACCGCTTACTTGACGTTCGAGGCATTGAAGCACCGTGATGTCGAAAAGCGCTCCTGGAATAGTTTGCTCATCGATTTCTACCACCTTTCTACCGCTCACTCCCAATATCTTGTGGTGAAGAACTTCTACGAGGCGCTCTCCTCACCTAGCACAACATCTGCCCTCGACCCTGACACGACCGCAGTCCTTCAGAAACTCTTCCGTCTTTTTGCCCTCAATATGTTAGACCGTGAATCCGCCGAGTTCTTCACCTCCGGTGCTGTGACCATCCGTCAAATCACCCTCACACGAACGAAGGCAGTGGTGACCCTGCTTGACGAGGTTAGGCCCCATGCCGTCCGACTTGTTGACGCATGGAAATTCCCAGACTGGCAGCTCGACAGCTCGTTGGGCCGCTCCGATGGCAAGGTCTACGAGGACCTGTTCTACCGAGCCAGCGAGCAGAATCCCGCTAACAATATAACATTCGACCCATATCCGTCTACCGACGTATTGGTGAAGAATAAGAGACAAAGCAAGCTTTAAATATATCCCGTCTGGGTTTCTATATTCTGTCTCCTTTTCTGTTTGGTTATTAGATCTCTTTTTTGTTTTGCGTACGTTTTTAGAGCATCGGATGGTTTATCCCGGTCATTCTTCATTGGGCATAGATATTTTGACTTTTCACATCGATTTCTTTCTTTTTTTCCTTATTCGTCCTGCCCCTTCTTTTTATTCCAATTTTTTTTTTTTTTTTAATTATTTTTGATTCCATTCTTTCTCATGAGGATAACATCAAGGGATATCAAAACATAAAAATAGACACAGAGATACATAATAACGGGTATGAAAATAAGACACGGTATAAAATGCAAATAATAGGTATATGGGTTCAATTCGAAGTTTGGTCCTCTTATTCACTGAAATTGTACATCAAGGAGCTCCAGGCCCATCAATAATATCCAAGAAGAACGAAATCAGAAGATGTCTATATTAATCACAGATAAAAGCAAATCCCATTACCCAAGTTATATAAGAATACATCTTTGCAAATGCCACATTTCTTAAGGTCCCGGTTGGATACATTCTTAAAATCAAAAACGAAAATTTGATGATTGCCAGATTTTTACCAAGCCACCACACTTATTATCATTACCATAATCCAAGTTCCAATCCAAGCGCTAACACCGGATCCAATTCCCCTTCCCACTCCATTCTCTGGTGCCGTCTTCCCCACCACCGCCGTGCCCCTATCTCCACCTGAAGCCGTACAACTAACGTGCCCACACACAAATCCATCTGGGCAACAGCCACCACCCGCAGAGGCTGCACAGCTCGTCCAGCCCCCAGCACACCTCCGTGCTCTGGCACCACCAGAAGAATATGCAGCATCAACGGGTACAACAACGGTAAAACCGTTGACGTCTACAATAGTAGCTGAGGAGATCTCGGGACAGGAAGTGGGGTTGCAATCGAGACCGATGCGGCAGCAGCCGCCATGGTGGACGGCACTGCAGGCGTAGAAGCCGGTGGGGCAACCGGTTATAATTGGGTTTTCAGGGGTAGTAGTGGTGAATAGCTGCGGCGGGATTGTGGTTATAGTGGTTGTGGGGTTGGAAGTTCGACGGTAAGGGGGATCAATGGGGTTTGTGGTTGTGGGGTAAGGGGGGAGAGAGGGTGGTGGTGGTGGTGGTGGTGGTGGTGGTGGTGGTGGGGGACTTGCGGTGATGATTGTTGTTGAGATGTAGATGCCTGTGTTTGAGATGGTTAGTTGAATCGCTTTTACACAGCGTTAAGGGAGACGTAGTTTTGGATAAACATAAAAAAAAAAACATACACCCCTGATCCACACAAGAATAGCCAGGTATACAGCATCCACCCCCCGGGTAATCACGACACTCCCTGAACCCCTTCGGACACTCAATCAGATAACCCGAACACTCATCACCTCGCCCACAGCAACCCACATCTCGATCTTGAACAAGTATACATTTGCTTCCAGTCCCACAACAGCTATTCGGCCGGTTGATTGACATGCACGGCTCCGTGTCCGCTGGACATCGGAAATCTCTCTTCCTGAACATACGGCCCTGGTCTCGGGCCATCCACCCCCGCAATGAGCGGCCAAGGAGACGCAGTGAGTGGTCTCGTCCCCCTGCTTCATCTTGAGTCGCTCCATCCCCGTTTCCTATCTCTGCTGCATGTAATGGGAGCGGAGCGTATAAAAACGGCATGGACCTATTCATCCAGAGCTCTTCCCACCCTTTTGCCCCCTTCTCATTGACACCAGTGAAGCCATCCGGATCCATCGATCCACCAAAAATATCGCTATCCTTCCCCTTGTTTCCATGACCAAATTTCTGCTGTTGCTGTGGTATAGCGCCACCGACATCGTCACCGAAATACCAATAATCCAGCCAAAATTTCTCCCCCTCATCATCAGACATTTTCCTCACGCCAACCGGCGACTGGTCTGCCAGTCGCTTTTGGATCTCCACATCCCTCTGAACCAGTCTCTCCTGCACGAGCTCTATATCAGATATGTCATCGTTGGGAAGAACCCCTGTGGCACTTGCAGCCGTTACTAGGAGTTTCGAGGCGTGAAGGAAAAGGACGAGGTGGTGGTTCTGGTAGACAGCTGGAGAGGGGAGCCACCTCATCAGGCCCCCTGCTCAGCCTTTGTTAGCTTCCTGGCTATTTAGCTTGAAAACCAGATCGATGTGATTGAAGTACGGAATTAGGTGCAAAGTTCGAAGATGCGCTGACTGGGAATTATGGATAGTGACTGGTTTCGAAAGTGCAAGTCCGAAGATATGCGAAGAATAAGAGAATCAGCAAAAATGGTATGTTATAACTACATATCATTATAAGGGGTGCGCTTTAGCGAATGAACGCTGTCACAGGTTCAGGTTTGCAGGGGGTGCCAGAATAAGACAACAATGTTCGGCTAGGTGTTGGACGTTCCAAGACCTTCATACAACAAGAAATGAAAACGGTCACTTGTAAAGTTGGTGGCAGAATGAGAATATTCATGGTCTCGGGAGTTGGATTTACGATTCTTGCAGTGTTTCATTTGTTTTCGTATCACACAGTTGGCGGTGATAAGAGAGCTTCTGGTTGGAGGTGTCTTGAAATGTTGTAGGCCGGGCTTGGATGTAGAGTGACCTCACTGTGCAGCAATATATAATAGCACTTCAGCATTGAAAATACGGAGCAGAACACCAATGTCAAGAGAAAATATATATGTCGTATTATTGGTAGGAAAAAATGAAATCAAACTCGAAGATTCAGCAGCAGGACTATAAGCAAGAGTAAATAAATATCGGGGGTTGTAATAATAAATGGACACTATCCAAATCATCCCTCATCCAAGCTTATGCCCATTTCCGCACCCCGAACCAACCAACCAGCTGATGGCGCCTGCTCAGCGGCGATCGCGTTAAGACACACCAGAAACAGGTTTCAACAAAAAATGAAAATAAAAATGAAAAATGAAAAATGGGGAAAATGGTAACTAAGGAAACGAGAAAATAATAGTTAAGAGCATGTGCATGTGTAGATGATGATAAAGAAAATGGTGTGTGTCTTGGGGTATCGGTAACAACAAAAAAATGAGGATAACAGAAGAGGACGTACATAAAAGGAGAGCCGCTATCTATCCAAGTATATATATGCCAACGGTAAAACAGCAAGAAAAAAACATACTAGCAGAGCTAGAGATGCGACAAAAGGTTCAATGAGAACAAAAAGAAGGGTGAGGATGAATGATCTGCTGGATCAAAGCAGGAGTTGGAGGGGCAAAGGACAAAAAATGAATCAAGGGACTAAGTGCCAAACTTCCAGGACACCAACCACTTGCAAGACAATGAGGTTTTATATAAGACGCAGGCCTACCGACACAGCGTCCGGGACTAGGGTGTTATTATAGTGAATATCAATTAGCAAAGCATAAACGACCAACAAAAAAGGAATAGAGTTGATAAATTGAACGAAGAAAATAAAACAAACAATAAAATACCAAAATACGCAAATATCCAGACTTGATAATAACCCAGCTTTATTCACGGGCAACGCAAAAAAAAAAAAGAAGATTCCAATATGTTTCGCTCCCCAAAATCAAACAAAACGACGGTTTGTGTTGAGGTAGGGAGGGGGGGGGGGAGGGGTTGGGGATTCCAATATTCAGTGGGAATTGGAGAATATGGAAGAGAGCCATGATGTACGCTTGCGAGCTGAAGAAGCTAAGCCCACGGGGGTTAAGGTTAGAGAGGTCTCCTTATGTTTGTAGTTGAATTCGCATATATGTTGTAAATACTTATATTGAAAATCCCTTGCTCTTTACGTACCAGGAGCAGGTAGTAATATAGTCGTCTTCGCGGTCTCACCTGGCGTGGGGTCATCACCTGGCGTGGGGTCATCACCGGAACCAGAGCCAATATCTTCATCTGGGACTTCCTTCGCTGGGCCCGGCACTGAGGTCTCTGGCCCCCCAGCAAGATCAGCCTTCTCCTCGTCTTTGTCATCTGCAGGAGGAAGTGTTGTTGCGGGCAAGGCTGACTCCACTTCAGCGACTGCACCATTCATTCGATCCCACACCTCCTTTCGTATGCGTTCATCTTTAGCCTTCCGCATCCGTTCAACCTCCTCAAACCCGCCACTCTTCTTCAGTTTTCCTTCTTCGACAAATTTCCCCAGCTCCTTTTGGAGGGGACCGACTCTTCGAGTCTTCAGTTCTTTCTGTCTCGCTTTCTCCGCGCGCTCTATAGCTTCAAGTCGATCTTTGTGATTTGGAAGGAGTGCTCTTACTTCTCCCAGAAGGTGATCCTTGGCCTTCATTGGATCAAACGGTTCATTGGTTGGGATATTGCGGGAGACAGCTCTGAAGCCCTGGGGTCCGGTGGTTGAGTTTGAGTTCGAGTTGGTTTGCAGACTTTGTTGTTTCGTGGCCTGCTCCACAAGGGCAAATGTCTGTGTTGCCTTTTCGAGATCGTCCTCAAGGTCGATCACCAGATCTTCTTGCATTGTCAGTTGGTCCCTCTCCTCGCACACGAGTTGTAACTCCTTCTCCCAGATCTTAGTCCATATAGGCTTCTCCCGTTTAAGGAATTCTTGCATCTTCTTCAGCTCCTTAGATACGGCGCTAATATCCCGCCCCACAGCTTCCAATTGTCTCGGCAACGGACGGACACCACGTGTGACAACATCCTTTCGAAGGTCCTCAACGAGATCCTGAAGATCATCCACACGAGCAACGATCTTTTCAGATTCGTCCGCCAGCTCCTTCTTGCCTGCATTTACACGAGCACGGCACGCATCGCCCTCAAAGGATGGGACAGTCATCTCATTTGCCACACTCTTCACAGAGCCAGCCTTGGCCCGGATTGTGCTCATAGAGGCTGCCATGTCTGACGTGAAACTCGTGTAAGTCTGACGTAGTGTAGCAAGATCGCGACGGAGATCTTGGACTTCGGCAACATGATTTCCAGTCGCCGGTACGGAACTATTCGAGGTAACCCTAGATTTGGCTGGCGTGGCTGGAGGAGGGGCCGCAGCAAGGCGAGCAATCTCTTTAGCAGCTTCCAACTGACCATCAGTTAATCTTTGGATGGAAGCGCCTTGCCCATCAACTATTTCACGGACACTCTCAATTAAACGGCGGATACCCCCGACTCCTTCGTCGAAATGTTTTTTTACTTCATCGAGTGGCTCGACATTCAATACGAGGACTGATCGATCCTTGACATCGTTAAGGTCTTCCAATTCATGTCGAACACCAGATACGGGATCCTGAAGGTATATCTCGGGCAAATCGGTACCATTGTTATGGGTATTCCAAGCGAATTTTTCAATAAAGGCTAGCTGTAGACGTCCAATAGTTAACTCTGAATAACCTTCTGGCAAGACATACTTCTTAATTTTGCTCCTGTACTGTAAGAAGAGTGTTAACTCTTTGCCAGGCGGAGGGGTTGGCTCAGGAGTAAATTGACCGCGGGGTGAAATATCAGAGATTGTAGCAGTTTTGGTTTCAGCGTGTTTGGTCTCATCTGCGAGTGCAGAATGCGGTTCAGTAGTTTTTCCGGTTTGGCTATCGTTTGGCTCCGCACTAGAGTCACGCTCGGAAATCTGGGATAAAGAAGGTAGAGAGTCACCACCTGGGGTATCTCTAGTGTCAAACCCAGGTGGGAAACCAATCTTATCGACTGGGGTTTTAGCCATAGGACTAGCCTCTTCAACCGATGTCACCGATGTGTCAATTTGAGGTATCGACGCTGGCTCTCCACCCTCGGGTACCGTGGAGGGTCGACCTGGTGATGATTCGACAGTCCGATTATTGGAACGCTGCTTATGGTGAAGGTACGATCCGCGGAGGCGCACAGCATTCATTGACTCGCGAACATCTCGACCACGATTTGGGATCGGTGAGTTTTGAGGTGGTGGGATAACAGGGACACCGTTAGGAGAGGGACCCAAATGTTTTTGGATTTGATAAGCAGAAAACCTCCTCGATGCTCGTCGTTCCAGTTCACCACTTCTCTGCAACATTCCGATGGCATCATTTTGTCTGGACGCGGGCGGAGTGGGCGGCGGGGCATGGGGGAAGTTATGTGTGGAGAAATCCTGGCTAGTCCCGTAGCGAGGTCCATTCAAGTTTTGGTCAGAGGGCGGATGCATGACGGGAATATTCTGCATTGTGTTACTCGACAAAGACGAGTTTGAAGAAAATGTCGACTTCTGGGCTTCCCGCTTGGAAGCGTCCCTTTCAGCTCTTTCAGCAAAAGAGCCCCCATGGCGATCGTTGGACCAATTCGAAGAGGAGGCGCTTCTGGGGACTCCTGGCTCACCATAGCTTGTCACCGCACCCTGACGATAAGGGTCTGGCTGTCGCTTAGGCGGTGATTGAGGCAAGGATAAAGCCTCATCCGCCGTCTGGTTCAGACTGGTTTCTCCGCTCCCCCAACTACCAGAGCTCCCCTGTCGTGCCGTGGGCCTGCCATCCCTAACTTGTCTTGACCGCAACTTGGCCTGTTTCTTCTTGAGGCCATGAAGTAAATTGACAATGATGTTCCGTATACGGGGCAGATACCGTTCTAGGCTCTCCAGAGATGCATCTTGGCTAAGGGTATCTTCTAGAATAGTCCGGAGAAGATCTGGCACGGGCCCCAAATCTGTAGTATCCACGCCAATTGCTCCAAACGCCCTACAGGCCAGATTAAATTCATATCCTAGGCGGACATAGACGTCCGAAACCTCGCTTTCCGATGCCTGTTGTCGTGACCATTGTGTGAGAGTCTCCAATAACTGCTTTGTCGCAACGAGTAGGTGTGTAACGCTCTTCTCGATCTGTGATAGTTGTTTGTCCGATTGCTGTGCCTCGTAGAAAATCCGTAGAAAACAAAGAAATGCAACAGTTAGCACATGGATATATCCCAGACAAGGTGTTCGTTTTCAGCCGTCTGAACAACCAAGTGGGCATAACAACGACAGATAAAATGCAGGGTCATCAAGGAATATATGGGCATTCATGGATACAACATACCGTGCCTCGACTCGTGGAAGATTTTCCTGAGCCCGAGGATGCTCTCGAGCCCCGTGGTGAGGTAGGCATTTGCATCGCCAGCACCAACAGCAGTAGTAGCAGCAGCGCCCGAACCAGATGCTGAAGCCATCTTCTGCATCACGGGAGAACGAGCACGATCGAAGGCGGCGGAACGTATATGGCGAGCTCGAGAATTAGAAGATGAGGATGACGGCAAAGAGTCCATAACACGAAACGGAAGAAGAAGAGACTCGACGTTGGACAAAGAGAGTCTTAAGTCTTGCGTTGGGCTGGGAAGGAAAAGAATGAGCTGACGATACGGCCTGATACCATCTGATACAGTTCAGTATATCAACGGGGTTGGGCATAAGGAAAGACGTTCTGGTAGGCGTGAGAATAATACCGTAGAACAAACAATACGGTACAGTTTGGTATCATAAATTACACTTAGCACAAGCCACATCTAAACCTTATTGGCACAAAATGTCATGTCATGTGATATACCCAAAACAGTAAGGCTGAGTTGGAACAACTCTCTGTTGTCACGTGGATTCAGTGCTTCCCCACCCCGCCTTCTGTCCTGCAGATCTCTCAACAGACCTTGTACGCAAATCCTTCCATCTTTTATAGACACGGGGGAGCCTGAAAGTCATCGCTGCATATCCCCGATGCTGCTTCTGACATTCAATGCGCTTCCTCAACTTACATATCTGTTATTTTATTTTGCCACCCCCCCGAGATCTAGCCCCGATCCTCAAAGTGCAGTCAATCCGCGGTACTCCTCTCCTGCATGAGTAACTTAGTTTGCTATATTTCCCCTGGATTCCGCCCTCTCACTTTGTCTTCCTCGTGGGCGAGAAACCATTCTGATCCAAAAAGGACGGAAGCTTCCCGGTTGACCTGGTTTATATACGCTCGAATCTAGATATCCTGGATATGGCACGTATCCCTGGGCAGGACCTCGTACGATCCCATGTAACTCGCCGAGAAGGAAAGTAACACAACCAGCGGCATCCCCCGCCTGCATATAAAACGCCAAATTTATTCTCCTGAGCAAGATTCACTATGGAAGCCACGCCAAGTGGCGTAGCTCAGATTCATTATCTACCCTTCCATTATATTTGAAGATCCTTTTAAATTTCCCAGAAAAACGTAAACTCACCTGAAAGTAACCCGTAGTTTTATCAAACCTAAAATGGGTTAAAACTCCTTGCCGTGCTGCTTTCTTGGCTCTAACTCTATTGTTATATTGACTTTTATCCATTTTAGTTGGAAACAAAAGAAGAGACGGTAGACATTGGCTCGAGTTACTACAATTAGCCTGCTACCTATTAATAAACGAAAGGTGTGTTCAAGAACTTTTCATTGTTTGTTTCAACTGTTTCCGCCGGTGAACCGGGAGCTGTCAGCAAGTTGAGGAATATGCCATGAATAGCTAACGGATGAAACTCTCCGCCCGGTGCCGGGTGAAATATTCAGTATATTCGTTCCAACCATTCAACTACACCTGAACCGTTGATCTGCAACCGGTAAATATCTACTACGATACAGCAATGCGGAGTGGTTAAAATAAGCTATGAACGAGGAACCTACGGAAAGGCGTTTTCAGTCCTAAGTTCCGCTATTTACGGGTCTAGAGGGAAGATCGCACCCTTCCCGGAATATTTTACCATTGCAATTAGTATTTATCCCATGCTAGGGTTTTCATCAATCGCGCCTAACTGGTTAACTTGGACATACCCTGCCTGTCTTCAACCCTTTGTCTTTTCCAAAATCCCCATCCTTGATGGTTTTGAAAAGGCCTCGCTGGGTAGGAGATGCATGCTAGCAATGAGGGTGGAGATAAACAGCAGAGCTGAGAGAGAGAGAGAGAGAGAGATTATTCAGATTTTGATAACATCATCAAAGATTCAGTCATTGAGATTCCCACGATCTTTCTAGCTTGATATCAAATATCTCAATTTATTCAGCGGCCACCTCTCCAGACAGAACTTTCTGGTTGATCAGAAGAATCGGGGTTAGAAGTAAATGGATGATCTTTGGCCTGGTATGAAAAATAGTCGAAATGAGAGGAAAGAAGAACTAGAGATAAAAAGAAACCATAAGAGTCCTAAAAACAAGGCTGGCGCTTATGGAATTCCCCGCAAAAGGATCAAGCGCTTTGTCAAATGATAACCCGTCAGATGACAAACCCCCCCCCCTCCCCCGAGAAATAAATATGGAAAAATGAGTAATCTGCAAAGCTAAGGGTGCTAGTCCATGCATTTCCGCTGCAATATCAGTATGCATTGCACGAGCTTGCAGGACAGACACAGGTTTACAGGACTGTACTGCGGCGCTGGGAGACGGAACGGGACGGGGAGATCACGTCGTTGTGACTTGGAGGATTGGGGTTTCGGCCATTGCCGAAGGCGTCATGGTTATATGTCTGCATGGAGAGAAAGCTTGCGGAGAAGGTAGGTAGGTATTGGCCTGAAGAAGAAGTTGCATATTTTCGCTTGAGGATAGCTTGATATGTCTGCGCCAAAAAGGGGTTGGGATATGGTTTAAGTTGATCCAGTATACACTGGCATTGGACAGTGTGGGCTGAATAGAGGGCTGACTGAACTGGAGACCCCGTGCTCCACAGAAGCTGTTAAAAGGTAATCTAATAATTAGCTGCTGCTGGTGAATTGCATCTCTGGGGAAAGTTAATGAATGTGGAGATCATAAATGGGTTGGAGTCATTGGGACCGGCACTACTAAAATAATCACATCGTGTGCAATCCGTCCACTTATGTCTAGCGTCTTTACGGAGAGGCTGTCCGAATTGTGGCTATGGTCTAGAAGCATAGTCATCAAAAACAAAAGGGACATATAATATTGCCTAGGATGAAATGTTTTGAGATGAAATTTTGATACTGATATTGAAACTTGGATTACGAAAAAAGCATCGAAATATAAACTTTTCCCCCCAAGATTGGCTTTTCGAGGCTGCGAAAAGAGTTCTTGAATTAGCAGGACAGAAAGGGCAGAAATCAAGCTGTGACAATACCGCAGCAACGAGCTAGGCCAATTTGGCAGCGCCCCGTGGGCGAGGAGGTGTTCCTAATACGGCTAAACCAGAGGTCTATCCAACTGCCAGCTAGTCCTAAAGCCGTAAAGTGGAAGAGGGCTGGAAGAGTTGGGGGCCTGTGATTGGCGAATTGCAGTCCAGATACCGATTACCGAGCCATACGTCATAACCGGACCATACCGTACGATACGGCCCTGCTTGCTCTGCCCGCTCGCCAGCCCAGGGCTTACCAACAACCAGCGATTCTTTCACCCTCACCTTTTTTTCGGTCTTCATAACTCTTTTTTTTCCCGTTTCCCCAACCTCAACACGCACTCCCTTCTTTCCTCTTCTCCCCCTTCCATCCCCTTCCCCCTTATTGATCTCAAGCTCTGTTCTCTTCTTTTTTCTTCCCTTCTTTCTTAGTCCTGATTCTTACCCCTTCCCTCTGCGCCCCTCTCCCCCCCAGACGGATTTATTGATAATTAATATCAGAGATCCAGATAAAAAGAAACGACGGCGAAGAGAGAACGCTTGAAGATAAGGAAGAAAGAAGAAATGGAAGAAAACAAAATAGACAGCTCTCTTGGAAAAAAGGAACAAACGGGGCCAAATCACCGAGATGTATTACGATTAGCCAGTGAAACAGAATATTTCCTTGTCTGCATGGTTCTGGTTCCGAG